TTGAATATTTGGCAGGGTGGGATAATTGTGCACCATTCTTTTATTTAGTTTGCTGTTGTGCATATACCGATAAGTTGAGACCTGGGTGTAAAGCAGTTAGCAGATAATATTCGGGGAAAAACATGGCACTGAATAACCTCGCCAGCTCCAGTTCATGGCCCGAGACCTAAGACCTCCAACTTAAAATTAATTGGAAACGTCTCAATTTGTTTAATGTGAACTATCTTTTCCATGCAGAATCAGATAATTTTTGATGTTCTTGAATTCAGCAAAATCTCTGCATCAAATATTGCATGTTGATCATATACCATTCATGTTTTATTCAACTTTAACAAGTCAACAAATTGATGTTCATTGTGTGCAGAATGAAAATTGGCTTTATATCAAATGTTTATAACTTTACAATAGAAAAATGCAGTACCTATTTCATTTCACAGTAACTAAAAACTGAAATACTTTAATTTGGATGTAGTATTAAAGTATTCTTGGAAGCGTGTATATGTTAAAGAAAATGTGTAAGTGACAGGTGTATGTGATGCCACTCAAGATATGAAGTAATAGTGTACGACTATGTGAGTTGTTAATTTATACAGAATACAGCTTGCGTTATGTCAAATGTTGGCTCTAATGAATGGTTAGGATTAAAAGTGGAATGAAATGGCAGTTTATTGTCAGTTATTGTGTTCCCTAAAAAAAAAAAGAGTCATTTAGTTGTCTTAAATTTATTATTATTATTATTTTTTATTTAATTGGCCATGTATAGTTGAAATATATTTTGATGAAACCTGATGCAAAATGATGATTATGCCAAGATCTTCCTGCATCTTATATAAAGAACAATCCAGACTTAATGGCTCTGATCCACTGCTGCCTTTATTTCCTGAATTTGAAGTTTTTGAAAAATGTTTATTCTACAATAGAGTATGATTTCTATTTCTGAGGCATAATGCTGGTATTCAGGTCAAGGGTTAATGTGTACAACAATATGTATGATGTACTAAACTTGCAAATTGCAGTCATTTTCAAAACTATACAACAAACATTTAAAATTATTTTAAGACATAAACATCTGCATACGAATGTCCCGATTTTTCCAGAGGTTTGCCTTCGGGCATACTTGGAAATGCTTGCGACTATTTCTCTTTCTCTTTTATTTATGTTTTGTCCAGTCTTGGGCAACTGTCTTAAATACACATTCTTACAAATGAAATATACAGTACTGTATAACATGGCTCACATTCACAGTGGTGTTCTGAATAACAGAGTACCCACTTGAAGTAGTTAACTGCTAATGGTTTATACTGCAGTTTTGTCACTTCACCAGGGGATTGATAATACAGTATTTAGAAAAGATGGGGAAATAGTACAGTATTAAATACATAGTCATGCATGCATACACCCAAACATTCACAGGGTATCCCAGGAGTTACCCGGTTTTATTTCATGAGCTTCTTTCCTTATTGATTGATTGTGTTAGTGTACAAGTGTGTGTGCTAGCTATAATTGTGTCGTTATACTCATTTTGAGCTATCATCTGTGAAGGGTTGAGACAAGTTTTAGCTTCAAAAGTGTATTGATAGGCAAGGGCAGATGTGTTGAGTATTAAATGAACTTTTCTTAACTTGGTGCTGAAACAGCCATTTCTTTTTAAGCAATTTCCATGTATGTACTATGTATGTATGTTGTATTTAAGAAATAAAATTGGTAGCCCTCCCTGGAATACCTTTTGTTTGTAGTATATAATGTTATGTTAAACAAAATTTTGATTATATGCACGTAACACTTAATACATTATATGCTTTTTGAATAATGAATGTTTTCTTTTTGTGATTTCAAATATGACCTCAGAATGAGGCCCAACCATTACCACAGCCTCTTGTTTTGGCATGGAATATTTGTTATCACTCAGTGGGAGGAATAAGAGTTTTTTTTTTTTAAATTAAGCTTGGCGACGGAATGAAGCATTCCCTTGTGCATGTCGTGGATGCTCTGTAGACAGTGTTCGTGTTGGACACACCACCACAGCTTACTCATCATGTGTAAGAGAGAAATGTTATATCTTTAAGACTATGATAATATTAAACTATATCAATTATATCATCTTGTTTAGAAATTTGATGAACTAGATGTGGTTTAAACATACCATATTTTGAGTTCTGTACAAAAATTTGTGAAAGTTTGAGTTATAATATTAATATGGGTAATTAATCAGCTGGGCAAAATTGAAAATTCTAAGGATAATATTGTGTTTGTTCTGAAATTATATTGTGTAGTGTGTGCTTAATAGGCCATATATGTGCAGTTCATTGTGGATAAGCAAACGTTGCAGTATACAGTATTCTGCCCCTTAGGAAAGTAGCAGTCATTCAACATTGCCTTGGTTTACTGTTGTCCAGGACTGAGGGTCGGGAGCCGTGTGTATCGTAACATAGATGCCTTTGGCCCTAAGGCAGTGGCAAGAATTATGTGAATGCTCTCGCCCAGAGTCCTCAATATCTCATTTCATAAATACATTAGTTAATAAGTAATTGTGGTGGCCTTTTCTTTTTTTTTTTTTTGAATGTCATAATTTTAGTGAGTTGTACCTACAATTTCTCATATTTTGATGCTGTAGTTTCTGTACAATAATGCAAGTGGGTTTAGTTTTTGCTTCTCTGGGTATAAGATGGTTAATTTTTTCGAGTTTAAGAAGCATATTACTGGCGAGATGACATTACTTTAGAAAGCTTATCATTAGTAAAAATAAAGTAGAATTCACTTTACACAAAAAATGCTGGGCTTTTAATATTTCTGGTCCACCTTATGTTTGATGATATGGTTTCTTTATTATGTGTTCCATGCCTACACGAAGATCATATCCATAAGTGCACTGATGTGTATTCCTGGGCATCTTCATGCATGTGTGTGTATGTATATATATACAGTATAATATATATATATATATATATATATATATATACACAGTATATACTGTGTATATATATACACACAGTATATACTGTGTATATATATACACAGTATATACATATACACACAGTATATGAATGAACATCCATCCTCTCACATTGGCCATATAAGTATACTGTACATATATATCCCTCCACTTTTTATCCTCCTCTCTCTAACCTCATTACCTTCTCCTGCCTTAATATTTCATCTTGCCTTCTCCTGCTTTATCTTCTGCCCACACACACACACACCTGGCATATTATGGGGACATACTGTACCCCATACTCACACCCGACACATTACAGGGACACGGAGTGCCCTGTACATAAATGTAACGGTAAATGGCCAAAAGGTTCCTGTGAGAGAACTTAGAGCCCCAAGATCACTCAAGCACCCTATCTCATACTGCAGTGTGCCTCTCATACTTCCTTCACACATGGGTGACCCACACGTCATGTGCCACACTTCCTTACAAACCATTTCAAATAGGTTTTTAGACATTTAAAAAGAAAGATGCAGCAATGAACAGTGTGTTTTGCATTAGAACCAGGCAGTCGTAATATGCTTCTCCTAAAAAAAAAATGATGTTTAATATTAAATGAAAAATTTTGTCTTGAAATTCAGTTCTTCATAAATAAAGTTACTGTTTATTGGTATTTCTTTTTACCCTTTGCGTACGTGTTTGCTAAGATGACGATGTACTGTACTACAGATTGATTATAAGCGTGCGGGAAATAGAAGCATGTCGGGTCGTTTAAGTAACTTGTACAGTACAGTATATTCAATGTACATGTACAGTATATATTATGTATATAATATATATATATGTATGTATATATATATATATATATATATATATATATATATATATATATATATATATATATATATATATATTATATATAAAAAAATTTTTTATACCATAGTTGGTAATTATCTATATTATTGTCATTTTAAAGTGATATATGTACAGTTTCTTTTACTAATTCTTATTCAGTACTACATATTTTCTAATTTTCCTCTTGACAATGGAAGTGGGGGGGGTGGGGGGGGAATTGTTTTCTTGGTGCAAGCAAAGTAAGTTTATGGAAAACCTTCATCTGATTACAAATTGAGCCAAATATTGTCTTACATAATTCATATTATCTTTATCATACAGTAAATGAAAACTATCTATATCAAGCATAGTTACAACTGAATTTATTTATAATTTTCATATATTATTTATAATAATTTTACTGCAGCTCTGTAGCTACCAACTATGTGTCTTACAGAATAATACATTTTGGAAGTATAGAGTTGATAGCATTACTTATGATAATAATATATGAAAAAATGTAACATGATGTATTACTGTATTTACTCTAGTGTCGTAAGGCCTATATAAAACTATTTATTCCTAAGTGTGGTGGTAAACACTTAGTAGAAACCTTTAAAGGTCTCATACTGACAGTACTACTTTTCACTTGATATTTTCTACTTTAAATTAGGCATGTAAATATTTCTGCAGATAATTACTTCCGGTGGGCACGTGTGTACGCAAAGACACGCTGACAGGGTGAAGGTGTGGTGGGATATATATAATGGCACTTTCTTAAATTGGAGTGATTTAATTATTAATCACTACTTGACACACAATTCAGAGTTACTGTAATTTGAAAACATTCTTAGCTTTATATATTTTTCAATATTAGTCATAAGACGGTTAATTCTGGATGTTTTATACGTGTGTGGATTGACTGAGTGGTGCTAGTGTTTCTGTTGAGGGTCAACAGTCATAGTGGATAATGATGCTACATTGCTCATATTTCTGTACTTCTTGTCTCTATGAAGGTTTTTACAAGTTTCAGCAGAGCTGGAGAAATCCTTAAACTTTAAATACTTATTCTGACTTTCTTGGTTCTTTCATTTTTTCTCTTCACATGTTCTTCAACATACTTCTTGTGATTGGTAGGGAATTTTGTTTCTACTAATAAGTGCATCTCATGTCCAGTATCAATTGCATTTATTTATATGCTCATAAAATCATGTGATTTGACATATATCCGCAGGTTTATAATGAATTTATTCGGAGCAAATGGGATACCGTGGAAAGCCAAGAGGACAGACTGGGTAAGTTATTGTGTTGTGTTATGTTTTCATATTATGTCCTCTTTATTAATAGTACATCTTTTATAGGATGCGGCTCTTAAGTATACCATATTCCTCAGGCAGGTTTATAGGCTAAATTCTGTTTCGTATTATAATTGGGTTTCAGATTTAGGGCCTAAAAATACATTCTTCAGGATTAACTTATATGATAGAATATGACATGGCATTGTTCTGTGCAGATTGCATTGTTCTTTATGAATTCTGTGATCTATGAAATTCAGAGCCTAAAAAATCTTTAATGTTCTTATAACAAAATAATAATCATTGAATCATTGGTTCATCAGTTTATCATGGTACTGTAGTGACATGGTGACAAGGTGAAAATTCAATTTATTTAAAATAAAGCTGTTATGGAGAAGTGGTTTTTATTATAATTTGAGTTTATGATTCTGGATATGCACCACTGCATGTAGACAGCGGTGGAGAACATTGCTAGAAGTAGACTGAGCTAGAGTAGGTTATTGTTGTAGATAAATCCATCACAACAATATTTCATTACTATATTAAAGAAACGGGTTTATATGTTGAGAATAATCGTTGTCGTCTCCTTCTTCCCACAGATCAGCTCGATGGTGTGAAAGCGGCGAAGAAAAAAATAGGCAGTGGTAAACCCAAGTCAATTGAAGACTGGCTGCAGTTGTCTGATGACTATGACACCAAGGTAGCTCAACCGGGCAAGAAACGGGTAAGTCTTGGAAGAAATCTGTTTATCCTTCGCTTGTTAGAAATTTTCCAACCCGGTATCGCTCTTGACGTATGTATAACTAGGCAAAATTGGTCATCATCATGATGGGGGGGGTTGACAGCTGAGTGGACAGCGCTTTGGATTTGTAGTCCTGAGGTTCCGGGTTCGATTCCCGGTGGTGGCGGAAACAAATGGGCAAGGTTTCTTTCACCCTGATACCCCTGTTACCTAGCAGTAAATAGGTACCTGGGAGTTAGACAGCTGCTACGGGCTGCTTCCTGGGTGTGTGTAACAAAAAGGAGGCTTGATCGAGGACAGGGCCGCAGGGGCACTAAGCCCCGATAACATCTCAAGATAACCTCAAGATCATTGTACCATCCCAAAAATACAAATTGCATCAGCTTTGTTAGTTTAAATTATTTAAGTTTTGAACATCTTTATAGTATGGGATGCCAGTGGGATAAGGATGGGCTTGTTTTTGCTTATATTTTTGGGTATATGTTGGAATGATTCATTATGGCGAGTTGACGTGTTATGATACTTAAACTAGTGATGTACTGGACTGACATTGTCCGAGTGGTAAAATGAGTGAGTGTTGATAAGGTGTGATAATATTTATATTTTATTTGATTTGATTTATTGTCCAGATGGAAAAGTAATCTAGAAAAAATGAAAATTGACAACCAAAAATAAATATTAATTGCAGATGTAAATATCAGTTTTACATCAGTAGTATGTGCATTTATTTGTGTGTTCACATGTTTTTGTGTCAGAACACATTACTGGAAGGATAGCATGAATCTATACTAAGCAATGCGATGAACACAGTGAAATTAGATGATCCTGAGAGCTTTTGTTACTCTCTACCCACAAGTCATACAGTATAATGATATTAAAATAAATCCTACAAACTTTGATGTGGAAATACTGTAGTCAAAATACCCATACACTCGGCTCTGAAACCAATTTCCTGTAACTCTCTTCATTCGGTAAAATACAGAACAAAAAATTCAAGACGAAGAAATTAGGAAAGCAGTGACAAAAACCTGCAGACTGCTGGCACTAACATCATGCATATATTTGCATGATGTTACACACTAACTGTTAACAGAATTGGAAGTTGTCAGACCCTTAACCCAATTCCCCTGGAGGTGAAAGTACTGGTGTGGCCTAGTGGTGAAAGTACTGGACACGCTAAGGTGCATGGAGCCCCTGGCTGTCTGGGGTTGAATCCTCCAGGGGGTGAGGAGTTTTCAGTTTGATATTGGCTTGGGGACCATTCAAGCTTGTTCGCATTTGTGTTACTCTTGTGGCCGCGAGGTGATTTGATGAAATATCTGTGCCCAAAAAGGTTCACCCAAGTGCTGTTGGGAATTGGGTTTCACTTTCGCTCGGCGACTACTCAGCATTGAATTGTCCGTTTAATAGAGGGAAGTCCTGTAACGACTCAGCATTGAGTCGTCCGTTAAAATCTGTGCCTAGCATTCACACTTGGCTGTGGGAGGGGCACGCCGCAATTTTGGACCCTATATGCCTTGCATATAAAGTTGAATAGAGTATACACATTTTATTGTGCTTGATTAGCGCTCACAGGAGTAACACGATGTCGCTTTCTTTGTTTGCTGTGGGTGGTATGCCGGGATTTTGGAGTTTATATTCATTTAGTCCTGTTGAGAATTCAATTGCGAACACATTGATATCAAAATGAAAGACATATGATGAGAATTGAGGTGACCAAAGTGAAAAGAGTGTACTGTACACATTTCATTGCTCTTGCGTGGTCCCGGGTAACTCTCTCTCACTTTCTCTGTTTGCTGTGGGTGGTAAGCCGGGCTTTTTGAGTTTGTGTATTTAGTCCTATAAATAATTCTATTGCGAACATATTGAAATCAAATTTAAAAAACCTAGGACGAGAATTGAGATGACAAAATTGAAAAGAGTATAAACTTTTCAGTATTACCGCACTCTCTAATGAAAGGCCAGGCGCCCCTAGGAGTGGCGGGGTGCGCTCTACCAGGTAACTTAGGCCTGCTTTCATCACGTCGGCGGGTAGAGCGTGCTGCGGTTTTTGACATTATATGCATATACTCCTGTTGGGAATTCTATTGCAAACACATTGATACCAAAATGAAAGACCTAGGATGAGAATTGAGGTGACCAAAGTGAAAAGAGTGTACACATTTTATCGCTCTTGCACGCCGCTCCCGGGTAACATGCACTCACTTTCTCTGTTTGTTGCGGATGGTACGCCTGGCTTTTGGACTTTATATGCCTTTAGTCCTGTAGAGAATTCTATTGTGAACACAATGATACCAAATTGAAAAACCTTGGGTGAGAATTAAGGTAACAAAGTTAAAAAGAGTATACACTTTTCAGAATTACTGCGCGCTCCCACGGAATGCCCAAACCCACCTGGGATAGTGCAGCGCTCGCGCTCCCAGAGCATCAATGTATTAAAGATCTGATGACTTCCAATATTTCTTAATGATGCATGTAAAGCGATGTTCCGTACTAAGGTTCATTTGCGAGATGAAGAGTGAAGGCAAGCTGCCATTCCTAGACGTAATAGTGTCAGGAATGAATGGTGACTTTCACACTGCAATCTATACAGAGGAAATCAACATAGGAATGTACCTTAATGCTAGTAGTGAGTGCCCTGATAGATACAAGCAGTGCATTGTCAACACTATGCAAACTGTGCTCTTACGCAGCTCCAGTTGGAAGTGGGTTGACGAGGAACTCAATAGAATAAGGCATGTCTATAGCGAATACTCTAACAGATACTCAGTGTTAATAATCAGAGAGATTATTAACACTTATCGCGTGCGGTGCGGGCACGCCGCAGACTCTGACGTCATTTTCCCGACGGTGTTGGCGAGCATGCGGCGACACCGAAATGTGTATACTCGTTTCAGTTTTTTCACCTTAATTCTCGTGCTACGTTGTTTGTTTTGGTATCATTGTGTTAACAATAGAATTCCCAACAAGGGTATATGCATATAAGGTCCAAACCCCCACCGTGACTCCCCACAGCAAAGCCTAAAGTCGGCAAAGTTACCAGTGAGCGCACAAAATCAGTAAAATATGTGTACTCGTTTCAGTTTTCTCACCTTATTTCTTGTGCTATGTCATTCATTTGGGTATCATTGTGTTCGCAATAGAATTCTCTACAGGGGTACATGTATATATGGTCTAAAGGCCCGGCATGACTTCCCACAGCAAAGCCTAAAGTCGGCCAAGTTACCAGTGAACGAGCACCAATTGGCACACCTGCAGACTAATGTTTATACTCGTTCAGTTTGATAACATAAATTTTCGTATTATGTCCTTCATTTTGGTATCAAATTGTTCGCAAAATAAAGGCGCGTATTTTAAAACTAGTCCCATAATAATAGAGCAATAAATGGAATTTTAACAAATATTTTAACTTTTGGACGCTCATCACCACAAAATGATTTATATATTTAAAGTGTTGTGACACCAATTTTCATGTTACGTCTTTCATTTTGGTATCAAATTGTTCGCAATATAAAGGCACGTATTTTAAAACTAGTCCGATAATAATAGTGCAATAAATGGAATTTTAGCAAATATTTTAAAATTTGGACCACAAAAGTATTTATTTTCTTTCCAGTGTTCTGACATCAATTTTCCCATCAGGTCTTTCATTTTGGTTATCAAATTGTTTGCAAAATAAAGGCGCGTATTTTAAAACAAGTCCCATAATAATACAATAATAAATGGAATTTTAACAAATATTTTAACTTTTGGACGATTTTGGACGTTCATCACCACAACATTATTTATATCTTTCTAGTGTTCTGACATCACTTTTCGTGTTACGTCTTTCATTTTGGGATCAAATTGTGCGCAATCTAAAGGCACTCATTTGGAAACCACTCCCAGATTGATCGGATAAAATTTTAATTTTAAACAAATATTTTAATGAGCGACTCGAGACCGAGTCACCCGAGAAGACTCGAGAGAAAGATGAGTGACTACCTGGGGGGAGGCAACGGAGCGCGATAGTGTTAAATTAAAAGGAAGGTGAACTCCCATACTACCTCTGAAGAAACAGCCAACAATACATTACTGGTCCCTCCTATTAAAATATTCTGTCTGAATTTCTTTTCCGTGATTCACTAAACAGGTGATGAGAAGTGAATGCATTCAAGTAGGTGTGAGGATAATAGAATAAGAAGAAGATTGACAAATGTGTTGACCTAGTGTGAGATTATGGTAAAGATAAGGCTATGTAAGTTATTTGCATGGACAGTATGGATATAAATAAATAGTATATACTGTATGCAACAATTCACAAGGACCACTATACAATACATCTGGTCTTGTGAAATGATGGGGTGCTGGTTTTGCTGACCGCTGGAGTATAAAGGTGCTCGTTTATCTATGGTTCTGTGTATAGTACGAACGATGTAATGATTGGACACTTGAGACCAATCAGGCAAGTACCCACACCTGCACTCACCTGTGCCCACGGGTAAAATAAATAATCGCCATCAACAGCCTCAGAAGCAATTGTATTTCAGAACGTAAACATGAAGAAAATTAAAAGAACGCCAGACATAAAATCTAATCATCACCAACTTAACCCCCAATTTCTAGCCCTTCACTCACTCACATAACTCATGCCCGTTGCACACGTGTGACTTTGACGGTTTCTGTTTCCAAAGTTCTTGTAGTAATCTTAAAACTAAATTCACCAGGTACGATGGGCTGATGTTGAAGAAGGCAAGAAACAGTCAGCTGCCCGAGAGAGAGGGTTTGTGTTGGGGCAGACTGATTGGACTCGCATGACGGATTTATCCTTTGGTAGCAGCGCCTTGGTTCAAATACGCTACATTGAGGGACGTGAGAATAAGTGAACGTCTTAAGTGTCATTTTATTATTAAGTGAATAGAAGTATTTTAGCCAATTTAGTACACACTATAATAAGTTTGTGGGAATATTTCTCATATCTCGGTGGACATTGACATAAACTTAAGAGGACTTGTGCACGAGAAAGAAACGGTGGGGTGAAGACTCCATTTGTTCCTAGTTTTATCGTGGTTTAATGTTATGGTAAATGCATCAAGCAGATGTGCAATTTGTATGGTATCAATTGACTATACAACATTTAATACAAAAAAGTCTAGGAGTTTCAGAATTTCGTAGTTATTAGTTGCAAATTCGTGCTCGAGTTTCATGATCTTTCTTTACAGTTTTGTATAAATACACACTTTCAGGTTAATTTTAATTTTTTATTTGTCTATCAACTTATATGATTTGATGTTTTATTGTTTCTATATAATAAAGTCTCCTGTTTCAACCCTGAGCATTTATTACATTAACACTAGAGGTAGAGGAGTGTATCGGAAGTTAGTGATGCAGCATCTGAGCTCTGTGCTTTAAGATGCTAATGTGTATTGTGGTACGTGTGCAGGTCACTGTGATCAACACTGTGATCAGTAAAAGGACAAGTTATATTAGGTTCATGGATGAGGGAATTCAGACCAGATTTTTTACTCATAGAATAACACTCCACATCATAAAGTAGCTAATTGGCAGACAATTTCTGACACCAGCTTTTATATGAATCAAGCTTATATATTTTGGACTTTCTTGATCTCATCAAATTTATGCTAAAAAGAAAAACCAAGAGCTGATGAAGGTGACTTCTTTAGAGCAGAATCTGGTATTTCAACTGCATAATGCAGTATTGTACTGTAGCAAGATTCATGCTCACTAAACCCTCAGTTGACTGGTGATGAGTATTGTTAATATTGAGCACCTTGGTTGTAGAGGTCTTGTAAATTGTTACATTATTTAAGTGTCTTTACTGATGTTTGTGAGATAGTGGTAAGAGAGAGTGATTTGTAGTTGATCATGCCAGTGGTCAACTACAGTGACCCGTAAAGTAATAAATATATTAGTAACATTATTTTTATTCAGTGTGTACTCTTACTCCTCCTTTGACAAAACCTTAATTGATTTCTTTCTAACTGGTTTAGTGTCTCAAGTCTCCACTTTGTTGGTGTGCTGTTCTGTACCGTGCAATATTCTGATACATTGTCAGGTTCACTATTTTTTTCTTCTCAAGGTGTATTTTTTTTATAGTATTTCAAGTTTGAAGGTTTCTTCAGTTTTCCTGCTTCATTGGTTTGCTAATATCGCACTAACACTCTAATTGGGCAGCGTATTCTAGATACTTTTATTTTTAATATTTTCTCTACTGAATCTTATTTACTAATTCTATGAGAACCTCAAGTTCATTGATATATATCTGGCTGCTTGGTCTCTCTTTAATACTTTCAAGTTCTAGTGACACTAAAATACATCATCAGATTGCTACTCATATACAGTACATTCCAATATTCATTGCTGTCACACATAATCTATTAAAATTTACACATTTGTTTTTGCGTCTGTCCTCTAGAGAATTCATTTGCTAATATTTTGATGCCAAATTTCTAGATATAACCCAACAAATAACTGAGATAACATTTAATATTAGTGTAAAAATTGTAATCATTGCTGAACTAAACCTTCCAAATCCCCTTGTGTTTACATTTGGGAATCCACAGAGAGAAGCAAAATTTTTATAAATACACTTTTGTTTTTGCATCTGTTCTTTAGAGAAGTCATTCATGAGCATTTGGCACCAAATTTATAGTTAAAAGCAAACAAATAGCTGGGGAAACAATTATTGTATTTTTTTTTTTTTTTATCGTTGAGTGGCCCCGGGAACCCAGAACACACATGGTCAGGAATTGCTTGTAGAGGCTGGATCACCGAAGTGTTAATATGCTCATCATGCACAGATAATCAAGGAATCTCAAAAGCTGACACATAACTTTACCAAAACTGATTTTTCACATTTATGGTAATTGTAAAAGTTTTGAGTAGATTTAGAATCTTAACATTTTATTTCAACATTTAAGATTTCCCTGCTCCTGGTGAAGTTATGCAGTGGGTTAAGATACATCTGCAATTTGTATATGTATGAACTGGTGACCTTCACCTGTGTGTGTGTGCATGTGTATGTATGCATATGTACAATTTGTTTAATTAGTTTATCATATGAGGGTGAGTCAATAAATAAAGCCATTTTGATATCTACATTTCTCTGAGAAGATAGGGGGTCTCTAGATCGAACTGCATCCAGTTGTTGCTACACAGTCCCAGATTGGCTCATTTGCCCTCTCATGATGTCAGGTTCCCAATGTTTAAATGAAATGGGTTTTTTAGGGTTTGTGACAATCTGATGGAGGAAGTTCTGGGCTGTGCAGGCAGTGGCTATGGGACAACTTTTCCATACAACATTATTTTCATTCTGGTCTCATATTAGAACACTAGTTTTTTTTTCATGTCATATGAATGACAGGAAAATTGCCTGTTTTATCATGGAAGTCCTGGAAGATATCAGAGAATATTTTTTGCACATTTCATAATTGTAATTGATCATGTATGATCCAGTTATGCATTACCATGGATGATACTAATTTCGTAGTGATACATTGATATCAGCGGATAAGGTGTTTTACATGGGCAATATCTTGTGGTAGTGTCTTAGTACACTAACTCACGTGGTCTACCTCACCATACTCTTCTCACCGCCGGTACACATTTCTTTGAGAAATGATACACTATTCTATTTACTTATTGACATGTATATTTCACTCACATTCCTTGCCTTCACTCTTAAAAATCAAGGATAATTGCTCATTACTACTTGTACGTTTATATTTCCAATGACGCTGCCATGTTTTGTTGGTGAATATGATAAGTATTGCCAACCTGCACCTGTACCTTATGGCACACTTAGTATATTATACAGGGGTGCGGGGTGCCAACTTGTACTGTTGGATGTAGACTGGCATGGAATGAAGGTGGTATTATTTATTGACTTGTCCCTGTACTGTAGACTCTACCCAAACATGATGTGGGAGATTTCACATACATTAATTAGAAATAGACTAATTTTATGAGCAATCAATCAGACATTACTGCTTGTTGTTCTTGAGCAAAGGATTTTATCATGATATTCTTCTAAGCTTGAGTTTAGTTTTTTTATCTAGAAAAGATCAGAGCTATTGATTTAAGAGCAACTAAGATAATTGTTAAGGCATTTTTAATTGTTAAAAATGTTTTGTGAAAGCTAAAAGTTCAAATTACTAGAATCCACCCATTTTTCATATAGAGCAGGTCCGGATTTAGTGGGAAGGCCATGGGTCTTATACCGTCTTGCCTCCATAACTATTTTTTCCAAATATATTAAATAATATATCATATACAGATCAATATAATGTACTAGTCAAATTCCTACTTTTGTCCTCGGTCTGTTTTTCTTAACTATCCCTGCTGATCCTCTTGTCTTCATTGTTTTTGGCTGTTAACCGTAAATCATTCCTTGCATTAGATTTAAAATCATTGTGAAAGTAAATGATAACACTTTTTTACTGATCCATCTGGGATGGCCTTGGTAAAACGGTTTCTGGATCCGGGCCTGCAGTACCGGTGCCCTGTGTTGATTTTTGGGGATGATAGGTTGAAAGGCAAAATTAGTCTTATATTTAATAGAATTTGCTTTCCACCTAGCAATTCCAGTTCTAATTGATTGAATTTACCAAATATTGCTATGCAAATATTTATTAAATATAAAGAATTATTGTACCATAAACCAAATATCAACATCAGTTACTGTAAATTTTTCTGATGGTAATTATTATCATTTAATTGTCACACTACATTTTTTGCATATTTTGAGTGGGTAGAGAATATTTATTTTAGGAATAAAATCGAGGGACATGTTCATGATAATTGTAAATAAAATACATTTACATGTACTTCAGTTTAATTAATATCTCCTCTCTGAATTAAGTACAGTACTTAGGTTTACCATATTTGAAGGGCAAACAAAGATTTTGGAGTGAGAAGATAGGATCATAATTATAACTACACTATAAACATTTTGCCATGTTTGGCCTTGTGCTCGACCTCATCTTTAACGGCAAAAACAAGTGTTAGACAACATATCCTGAAAGCAATAAAGAGAACTTTTGAATAAGTTGGTTTGTTTCGTGGTGGTTTCACATCACGTACCATTAAGACAAATGGTGAAAACTTGTGTGTTTGGTTAAAAGAGCAGAACAGTGCTATGTGACATTTACTGCAGACAAGATTTTCTCACACTACCGTACTGAAGGATCATGTTTACGTCATCAGTGTTATAATTTTGCTGAAAATAGTTATTTCAAGCCGAGACATTTCAGAACGTAGGCACTGGATTTAGGTTTGTTCTATGGAATGCAAAATTGCCAAGTTAATTCCTTCGTGGTAAGAGTACAAAAACACCAAGATGAGAACAGACTATTAAACAGTGAGTTTGCCTGTATTGACTATCAAATCTAAGTAATATGCAGAACTACTGCTTATAAATTGAAATTAGATTATAAATTTAGTGTCAAATTTTATATTTTCCTGGCATCAATTTAGCAAGTGGGGCGGCTGCAATGACTAATATGTGATTCTGTTTAATGGTGGTGGTGTGTTTTGTGACTGTAGATTCTATAAATTTTCTTCTACTGTAATGTATGCTGCTGCTTGGATGAAGACAACACTGAAGTGGGTTCTGAGAATACTTCTACTTCACAAGCCTGGCCTGGAGCAGTGTAGAATCTGTAACAATGAAACAGAATCAAAGAAAAATCATTATAGTAATCTCATTTGCTAAATTGATAATATAAAAGTGTAAATTGACATATTAATCCCTGACCTTTTTGACCTTTCCTTCCTTTTATTAGTAGAGTACTGTAATTAGCCCTTAGTACCTCTTGTTAGAGTTGATAAAAGCCCATCCAGACAAAACAGTTCTAATGCTATAATCAGTTCTAATCAGTTTAAATCAGTTCTAACACTATACTTGTGTTTCTACCTCATTGTCAGCAATTTGTGCACTTCAACCACAAAAGATAAAAATGAACCGGAATTTGCTTAGTACTCTTTGGTATTCAGGTTTAGATGCCAGTTTCACTTTTAGTTTTCTTTAGAAAGATTGACTGTTGGTTATTTTCAAATGGATGCAGATTATCAGCAGTCTAAACTTTATGACAATGACCACATTTTTCTATTGTAAATTTTATTTTTTATCATACATGTGCTGTAATAATCATTGCCAAAAACTTAAAAAGCAGATGACCTGCACTTTAATGTGAGTTTTGGGATTATTTATTGACCTTTGCTTAGACTGTTGTATTTAAATTATAGATCCTCAGATACGTAGAAAATCAAAACGGAAATTGTAATCTTTTACTCAAACAGCATTTTGATGTACAGTAGTTTATCAATTTCATTTTGGGACACTGTTCTTGGAGACGCAATATACTTTTAAATAAAATAGCATAAATTCGTACACAAGTTGGCATACAGGAAAGTTAGGAAGCTAACAAAGTAGCCACAAGCTTAGCAACAATGTGCAACATTTTAATCCTTTATTTTTTAATTAAAGAGATACATCATAAACTTATTGGTAAATACTGCTGAATGACTTTTGATGCATGATTTTTCATTATAGAGTACATGTAATACCATGTACTGTACATATGATACCCTTGGATCAGTGACACAGTCAAGATCTGAAGTAGGTGGAGCAAGTCATTAAAAAAAAAGTGCCACGCCATGTACAATGAAAATAATGTAAGTTGAATTATTCCTCCTCCTCCTCCCCCCCCCAAAAAAAATTAATTTAAAAATGCATTTTATACCGAATAACACTCATTATATTCTAGCTACAATACAATATGTATATCTTACCTTGAATGAGGACTCTTGTTGGTGTATGGAAGACGGTGAAGAGGAGGGGAGGGGGAGAGGTGTTGGTGTTTGAAAGGGGCGTCCCCTTCCATTATAACAGCAGTGATGACATTTCTGGGGTATTCTCTCTCTTATGTTTTGCAGGCATACCACTAGGACCTGGTGGTGGCGCACTGCTTGCTTGTCTTAGAAAGAATCTGTCTAAAGATACTTGTTTTTCCTTACGTTTTAACACTTCTGTAGTGAGACATCACATTCATTCACTAAGAATGATCTCTTGTTTTTACTCTATCGTCTTTTCCACAACTATTTTCTTAGGTTGAACTTTACGACTGACTTTCTTGGGACCCATTTATTTTTTATAATAAAAAAATTTGTTAAAAAAAAGCAAAAAAGCAGACAAACAAAGTCTTCACAAAGAATTCAAGCACGGCCCCCTGATTCCCCATCCTTAGAACACTCATTCCCCAGATCCCTCCACCTCTCATATCGTTCATAAAATCCAAGGCTACTGCCTTGGATTTTATGAAGGATAATTGTGACATTGGCTGGTGACTGTTGTGTGTAGAGTTGAACATAAGGCAAGGTTCATGTGCTAGGAGGTTGCATGAATTTACCCCCTAGTAATTGTATTTGAAATAGCAAGACATGTCTCTTGGCTCGTTCATGTGCATTTGTAGATTGTGTATCATTGATAATGATTTCATTAAGAATATGCAAACTTTTTTTTATTTTGGAAATATTTATCTTAGTTCCGTACATTGAAAAATACTGTGCTGATAACAGTGCATAACAGATACAAGAATTACCATTTGGGATACACAATAAACATAAAACCATCCATCCATCAGTGCTGGGTTCTTAGTCACATAGATATACAGTATCTGGAAACTAAATGGCAACAATGTATCCAATATAAACTGATTTCTCCATATATATATTCATCAACACTCATTTTGTATAACACACACACACACACACACACACATATATATATATATATATATATATATGTATGTATGTCGTACCTAGTAGCCAGAACGCACTTTTCAGCCTACTATGCAAGGCCCGATTTGCCTAATAAGCCAAGTTTTCATGAATTAATTGTTTTTCGACTACCTAACCTAACCTAACCTAACCTAACTTTTTCGGCTACCTAACCTAACCTAACCTATAAAGATAGGTTAGGTTAGGTTAGGTAGGGTTGGTTAGGTTCGGTCATATATGTACGTTAATTCTAACTCCAATAAAAGAAAAATTGACCTCATACATAATGAAATGGGTAGCTTTATCATTTCATATGAAAAAAATTATAGAAAATATATTAATTCAGGAAAACTTGGCTTATTAGGCAAATTTGGCCTTGCATAGTAGGCTGAGAAGTGCGTTCTGGCTACTAGGTACGACATATATATATATATATATATATATATATATATATATATATATATATATATATATATATATATATATATATATATATATATATATATAAAAGTACAGTACGTATACTAAAAAATGGTACTGTAGTAAATTTAAATAATCTAACATTAAAGATACTGTACTGTACTGGTACCATATTTGCTGAAATGTTAATACTAGATGCAGGGTGAATTCTGGATATACTTCATGCTAAAATGCTTGAACTCAGATTCAGTGGCACATACAATACTCAAATTGGACCATCTCTTGAAAACCCCACTTCATTATAATGTTCACCCCTCAAAATTACTTTTTGAGACACTTTCTAAGGCTAAATCAATTAACATGGCCAGACACTGCAGTTGCTAATTGTGTTGTATCATAATGCAAAACATGCTTTGGAATTTAATGACTCATACTTACCCTTAAACTTCTCCTGTCATCCTCAAGACAGAGAGACCTACAGTGCTCCTTGTGGTCACCAGCAGAAATTTTTTTACTCCTTTTCTATTTCTCTGGGTTTTCCCCATACCAGTGATCAGTGTTTCGTGATAGTCAATTGCATGTATATATATATATATATATATATATATATATATATATATATATATATATATATATATATATATATATATATATATATATATATATATATATATATATATATATATATATATATATATATATATATATATATATATATATATATATATACATATACAGTCTATATATTCCTTTATTTACATAATACAGTCTAGCACTTGAAGGGCAACATCATCACAATCTAGCACTTGTTGGAGGGCAGCAACATCACATTTTAGCCCTTGTTGGAGGGTAGCAACATCACAATGTAGCACTTGTTGGAGGGCAGCAACATCACATTTTAGCCCTTGTTGGAGGGTAGCAACATCACAATGTAGCACTTGTTGGAGGGCAGCAACATCACATTTTAGCCCTTGTTGGAGGGTAGCAACATCACAATGTAGCACTTGTTGGAGGGCAGCAACATCACATTTTAGCCCTTGTTGGAGGGTAGCAACATCACAATGTAGCACTTGTTGGAGGGCAGCAACATCACATTTTAGCCCTTGTTGGAGGGTAGCAACATCACAATGTAGCACTTGTTGGAGGGCAGCAACATCACATTTTAGCCCTTGTTGGAGGGTAGCAACATCACAATGTAGCACTTGTTGGAGGGCAGCAACATCACATTTTAGCCCTTGTTGGAGGGCAGCAACATCACAATCTAGCACTTGTTGGAGAGCAGAAATATCACATTACAGCACGTGTTGGAGGGCGGCAACATCACATTTTAGTCCTTGTTGGAGGGTAGCAACATCACAGTGTAGCACTTGTTGGAGGGCAGCAACATCACAATGTAGCACTTGTTGGATGGTAGAAACATCACATTATAGCACTTGTTGGAGGACAGCAACATCACAATCTAGCACTTGTTGGAGGGCAGAAACATCACAATCTAGCATTTGTTACACAATGCAAAGTTTTGATTATTACTGACTAATGCTTTTCAAAACCATGTATTGTACTTGTGTTATGTTACTTGTTTATAATGTGTGGCCGAGTTTTTTTATTATTTTTTTTACTTCTTTAT